TAGATATCCCTAGTGAGGGTAGCACTTGCTAGGCCAGAGGGTTATCTGGGCTGATGGTCAGCTTCTGTATTATGTTGTTGAAACTCTTTACAGTGCATCATGTTCAGAAATCCCATCATACATTCCTCTCTGGGAGATCTGCTCTTTTCTGAAGAGGAAACAGAAAAGGAGTAGATCTGGGGACAGGGTATGTGGGAGGAGCTAAAAGGGGTAGAGAGAGGGAAAACTGTGGTCAGGATATAGTTTGAGAGAAGAATCTACTTTCAATTAAAAAAAGTAGAAAGGAAAACTTTCAGTTAAAAAAAGAGGAAAAAAAAACCAAGATTCATGCACTTGTTTTCATAAACCTTTAATTGTAATGTTTCTTTTAAAATGACATATTGGGTCTGTCATGTGCCATTGGGACTGGGTGGGAAATGGACACCCACAATTCTGACTGGGGCCACTATACCTGGGCAGGTAGGAGAACATATGGCCCTGTCCAGCATCTTGAGGAGCTAGGTCGTTCGGGTGCCACCATAGTGAGCAGATATATGGTGGGGTATGGGAGGGAAAGAAAGACAGAATGATTCATGCCCTGTGGAGAGAGGCAGATCTGGACAGGTGAAGGTAGTGAGGAACGGGTTGATTTGGGTGGCCTACTTGCCACCTGGGGCCATGGTGACTTCTGGGCCCAGGCTGCTGCCAAGGGCTATGTCTGGGTCCATGGTCCTGCCACAACTGCAGTCTGTGTCGAAGTAGGTGGCTCGTGTCACAACCAAAGGCTGTGAGGATGTCTGGCCCATACAGATCTGAGTCCTGCTCTACAATGCAGGGACATGGTGACATCTGGCCCAAGCTGTAGCGTTGGGCCATTTCTAGGTCTGTAGCCCTGTCCCACCAGGGTCTGTATTGATATCCATGGTTCCTATAACCATCGATGGCCATTTGAATGCCCAGGTCTGAGCCACCACCTGGTGCCATGTTAGTGTTCAGGGCTACTTTATGGTCGAGGTGATGCCAATCTGAGTGGCCTGCACTGACACCTGGGGCCATGGTGACATTCAGGCTCAGTCTGCTGCCAAGGACCATGTCTGGGTTTGTGTTGATGTCCATGACCTTTGTTGCCACCCAAGGCCACAAGGATGCCCAGCTTCCTGTGGCTATGTTGAGATCCAAGGTACATGCTGCTGCCAGGGCCATTCGGATCTGAGTGCCCTGCACTGCCCCCTGGGACCATGATGTCAATAGGGCCTGAGCTGCTGCCGAAGGTCATGTCTGGATCCATGGCTCCTGTTAACACTGAAGGCTGTGCCAGCCTAGGGCCTGGGCTGACATCAGAGGCCATGTTGGTTCCAAGAATCATGCTGCTACCAGGGTGCTACAGATTGGGGTGGCCTGCACTACACTTGGGACCATGGTGATATCCAGGACAAAGCAGTAGCTGGGGGCCATGTAGTGGTCCATGGCCCTACTGTAGCCAGGGTCTGTGTTGATGTCATGGCTCCTGTTACCATCCAAGCCCATGTGACTGCCCATCTGGGTTGCCACCTCCTGAAACCATGTTGGGGTCCAAGGGAAGAGCTGCTTCCAGGGCTATGCCAATATGAGAGTCTTGCGTTGTCACAAGGGGCAAGGGTGACATCCAGCCCAAGTTGCTGCTGATGGCCATGTCTAGGTCTGTGGTCCTGCAGCAACTGAGGGTTGTGTTCATTCTTTTGCCCATGTTACCACAGGGGGCCATGCAAAACATATGTTGAACCATGGTTTGAAATGTGAGGGCTTTGCTGAGCTGGCCCTGCCCCTCATAAGGAAGCTGGTCTCCTGCACTTTGGAAAGCTAGCCACACCCCTCATCATGGGCGTGGGAGAGCTGGCTCTGCCCCTCACCCAAGGAGGCTGGTCCCAGTGACCCAGACTGACCAACTCAACTACAACCCAGGCACACATCTAGGACTTTGACTTGGCACTCGCCAGCACCTACCCCATCTGTGATCTGAGGGAGTGTGTGTGTGAATAGACTGGTCCTGTGGAACCACAGCTACAGAATCTCCATGACTCAGGGCAACAGCAAGATGTCCAAAAGAAATTTTGATGAAGGTCAAGTATTGATGGTGTACCAGAAGTCAGAGGCCTTGAACCTTACCAACAATCACACAATGAACATTTGCAAGTAAAGCTGTTGGGACAAAAGGGTATATTACATGATATACTGCAGCTCCCTATACCACTAAGACCAATGAAAAGGTGATGGAGACCTGGGAAAGATGGAGAAGCAAAGTGGTTTTTGTTTGTTTGTTTGCTTGCTGTTGGTTTTTGGAGTTTTTTGGTGGGGGTTGTTTTTGTTTGTTCATTAAAATTCTTATTTGTGTTTTCAGTTTCAATTTTATTATTTCTTTTTGAGTTTATTATTTCATTTCTGTTGCTAAATGAGTAGAATTGGGGTATGTGATGTGAAATTACCAAAGAATCAATAAAAAACTATGTTTAAAAAATGAAATAAAATGACTTATTTTGGTATTTACCAAAAAAGAAAATATATTGCCAAGTATCTCACAGAGGACCCTGGTTCTAGATTAACTACTTCACAGAAACTTAACTATAGCGTGAACCAGTCTTCACTATCAGCGTGCTCTGGGACTTGGGATAATTTCAACAATGGTCTACACATTTAGTCAATATTTTCATAGGATTTTTATATTGGTTTATATGCTTTGCCACAGCCGATGTATGTAAAGAGAGTGTTTAGCATAAAATTTAGGTGTTTTGAAGAACAGATTATGAATCCAGAGGAAGCTATGAAGGTATTTATTCACAACTCCCCATGATATAAAAACCAAGGATTGTTTTGTTTTTTTAACCTTTCCAGAAATAGACTTCATTTTATTTGTTCCTTTCCATATTTCTGAGACAAGTATTGTCAATAAAACATGAATTCTAAATTCAATTAATTAAAGTTTGTTTTGAACATTCTTCTGTGGGATGACTGGAAATGTTTCACTTAGAAAAGGGACTATAAAATTCTATCTGTTGTAAATAAATAATACCATGTTTTTTAAAAAGTGACAGCAAACTATAAGCTGAAAAACCAACCAGCTTGCCTAGTGGGAGGTGCCATATGGAGGTAATGAGTCAGTCAAGCTGTCCACAAACATTTGTGGAGCACCTACCTCGAGCCAACTTCCATCCCAGCACTAAGAATATACTGGTAAAGACAGCATGCCTGCTGCTTGCCCTCATGAGGCTTGCTGTAAAACTATGCTCAGCTGTTTAAAAGTACTAGTTAAATGTAGAAACTTTAAACTGTCCTAAACAAAATCTTGGCATTTCATTTCACCCTTTATACATACAGGGCATTTTCTGCAGGTGTAGGTCTAAAGTCAAAGTTTTTTTTTTTTATTTATTGAATATTTCGTATTTGAGTTTTGCCTTTTGTGAAATCTCATTGAACACAAGCATAAGGAATTGGTAAATGGGTAAAATGAATTCTCTGTAAACATATGAATCTAATTTTGATCCCAGCATCAATATAAAAGTCTGATGTGGCAGTGTCCATCCAAAATACCAGCATTTGGGTGGTAAATATGGGGTATGTAGATACCAGGGTCTCATTAGCCAACCAGTCCAGCCATAATGGTGAGCTCCAGGTAAATAAGAGAGCTTCTCAAATAAAATAAAATAGTGGGAGGTGCTGGGTTCGATTTCTGGTACTTCAATGTAAATAATAAATAAATAAGCATCACTGAAGGTACTCAGAATTGTTATTGTATGAAAATTGTTTGCTGACTGTAATGAAAGTAATTATTTTTAAAAGAGAGGTGATTAGTGATACCAGATAAAGATAATTCATTGAAAATAAGATTATGTGAATTATATGGATCTAAATATACACTTCAGTAGAAGCTTTTGCATGTTTCAACATTTGACTTTATAAAGCAATAGAATATTTATCCAATGATGAATGTGTAAGGATCTGCATTTTACAATTTTAAAAGTGCAATTATGATGCATCTTAAACAGTTAAAATACATTGCATTATAGTAAAGGTTCTTAAGATTATGACAACACTCTGAATTCTGACCTAAACTTTAGGCAGTCCAAAGTGATCCATAGAATTCTCTCTCAGAATTAATTATGTGCAAGTGAAATTCTTTGATTTTCTATATGAAGAAAAAACCCATCACCATAGCAACTCACAATTAATTGTTATTCTAAACTTCTTTGTTCTCTTGATATCATTATTAGCATCTTTATCCTTTAATAACTTCACCTATAAGCATGAAACAGCAGAATAGCTTTGTAACATACATGTAACTATGCCTAAACTTTTCTACCCAATCAGATGTTGATGTTATGCATCCTTGGTAATCATAAATTATTTCAATAATCATTAAAATATTTGAAGCCACTCACTACCACATCCAAACCATTTCTATATTCATGTAGACCTTCCTTGTAAATCCCATGTGGAATTACATCTAAACTTTCCAATTGAACCTCCCCCTATATATTTTTATTTTGAGGATTAAGTTTGAACTTCATAAAAGGCTTCCATTGGTTTCTATGTACACTTTCAATCTACGTGATACACGATTGAGAAACAGGCATCCACAAACCATGGTGAGGGACTATTTCACCTCTATTTCTGGAGCTGGAAAGAAGTGAATTTCCCATCACATGTTTTTCCATATTTGATCTAAAATAACTCTACCCAACCTAGATTTAAGATTCTTCAAGGGCAATTATAAGATCATGATTGTTCTTAGAGAAGATGACAGACCAGAATCAAGCATCAGAAAAAAAAAATCAGAATTCAAATTTGTTTGGCAAATTGATATTTAAGGCCTCTATCCCAGATAAATTGTGACAGATAGACTCACTAAGTGCCACTCTTGAAAAAGTCGGAAATCATTTATCAGGTCCACTTTTCAAATAAGAGCAACGGGAGGTTTTCTGTTGTTGTTGTTTTTGTTTGTTTGTTTTTTAATGCCTCATCTCATTATTTATATTTCACTTCCACAGTATAGGACTGTATGATTGCTGATCCATAGCCATGAAGTCAAGCAGTGATGTGCTGACACCCCCAGAAATTAAATTCAATCTTTGGTAAAGTCATACATGCAGGTAATGCCTTCTGATGCTTTCATGCTCCACTCTTACCTACTTTGTACCCCAGTTATACCTAGGACTTCCTACAAATCCTATAAGTCATAAAGAAATCTACATTCTAAGTTGGGAAAACTATTCTGAATATTCAAACTAGCTAGATGACAATACATTTCTTTTTGTAATAACTTAGTATTTGGATCATGAAACTATCTGCTAAAGAACATATTATCAACACTTGACACTACTGAGGGAGAGATGGAGCCTGCTAGAGGGTCTGAGTCACTGGGAGGTGTGTCTTTAAAGTGGATGCAGAGGGTCTAGACCCTTTCTCTTTTAGCTCACTACTAAATATCTGAGGTGATATTAGCGGCCTCCTCTGCTTTGATTTTCCATGGACTGCCACAGGTATAAAACAAAGGAACCAGTCAACAGTGGACTAACACCTCTGGAACTGTGGGCCAAAATCATTATTTCGTCCTTTTAAGTTGATTCTCTTGAACACACACACACACACACACACACACACACACACACACACACACACACACACACACGAGAGAGAGAGAGAGAGAGAGAGAGACAGAGAGAGACAGAGAGACAGAGACAGAGACAGAGACAGAGAGAGAATCCTCCGAATGTCACCATCAAATGTACTTTCAGCAAAACATAGAAGGTAAAATATTTTGAATTAATTTTAAAAAGGTGATCATTTTTTACAATGAATATTTAAAATGCTCTTGAAAGATAGAAAAATGGAATCACATGCTAATATTTCACATACCAGAAATCAAATGCAAAACTGGATCTTTTACTCACTGTTGGAAGTTCAGCTTTCAATGCAGTTATTTAGGTTTTATTGATCTGAAGTCTTGGTTTCCAGGAATAAAAATCTTCCATAGCAAACACAGTTGTTACTTTTGAATGAATACTAGAACTGAACACCTTTTTTTCAGTTCTTCATATCTATGCCTCCTAGAAAGACAGGGTCACTCATTTTGTATATGGTGGCTTATCAATGGAACCAGGTTAGTAGTGTTTCCTGGGTATTTGAAGGCATGTCTGGAATGCACAAGACCCTTGGGATAGCCCTACAATTCCTATGTTCTGTTATTAAAGTCAGTGGAAAAATAGAACAATCAAACATCAGCAGGACTGATGATACTCTAGTTTTTTAGCAGTAAGGTTCAAGTTAATACATCCATTTAAAAGCTATGACACACAGCTGGGTGATTGTGGCGCACGTCTTTAATCCCAGCACTTGGGAGGCAGAGCCAGGTCAATCTCTGTGAGTTCAAAGCCAGCCTGGTCTACAGAGCTATATCCAGGAGAGGCACCAAAACTACACAGAGAAACCCTGTCTCGAAAAAACAAACAAACAAAAAACCTATGACCCACAAACTAATTAGATCAAAACAAAAAGCATATAGGCTACTACAAGAACAGGTAATAATCAATGCCAACCTATGTTTGTTCTGACCCTATGGCAACAGAGCACATTATAGCAGAAAGCATGTAGAACAGCACTTATTCTTATTATGATGGAAAGAAAAATAAAATCATGATGAGAAGGAACTAAAGGTCTCAGGCCCTTCCAGTACATGCCTGCCAAGGACCCAAACTATGTGCTTGTGATTTTACTCATTGAGAGTTATGACAGTCCACAATAATGCTAACCTGGGAAAAAACAGCTTAACATATGGTTCACTAGGAGGCATTCCATGTCTAAAGTGTATTGTATGACTAAGTCTAAGGTTAGTTGAAACTTTTCCCATCAAATGAGAAAGAAACACACAGTAAACCAATAGCTTTGTTGTTATTATCACTTAGGAGTCTCCATGAAGCCCGAGATGCCAGTCATACATGCTGTCATCGTGTGCTGTGTGTGATTTACAGGGTGGCAGAGACTAATAGTGCAACATTCTTGTGAGGATTTTGTGATTTAAATTTTCCAGCTCTTGGATGAGGAAGCATTTAGGTCCTTGATGAAAAACATTAATAAAGGTCACTTCCTAGGGCAAGAAATTTAGACCAATAGTTTGCATGTTGAACCATGGAGAAGTTAGTGGCAACTTATTTACAATGTATTGTTACATTTATATCATGAATTAGTTACTTTTTTTGTTTTTGTTATGTAACACCACCACCAAAAGCAGATCATAGAAGAACGATTTTACTTTGGTTTATGGCTCTAGAAAAAGAAGAAGAGTTAATTATCGAGTGGAGGCACAACAGCAAGAGTCAAGTGTGGCATCAGGAGAGCTGAGTTCTCATCTTTGACTGAAACGATGAAGCACAGAGAACAAATTGGAAGAGAAAAGGTCCTGTAAACTTTAAAAGCTTCCTCCAGCGGTACACTGCCTCCAGCAAAGCCATACCATCTAAACTTCCCAAACAGCATCACCAGCTAGAAACTTAGTGTTCAAATCCAGGAGAGTCTGGGACACGTTTTTCATTCAAGCCACCATACACCACTTCTGGTGAACTTCAAGAAGAGATTCTTATTCATTATCTTTGTATTCAATAAGGTAGTTCAGAGCCAGTGCATAATTTGATCTTAGAATTCTCTTCATTGTGTACTTTAGACAAATACATGAGCTCCTGCTTAGGAATCATTCCTTGTATGGGATGGGGCTTGAAACATTCTGAGTTGAAATGCAATAAATGGGCTCTAGAAAGAGGCAGTGACTCAGTTCTTAATGTGTTCAGTCAACGGTTGATTCATTTGGCTAAAACTCTTTAGAAATAGGTCAGTGCCAGGGTTGAATGACTGACTGATGATAAACAGTAAACTTAAAGTCATTATGTTTCCTTTGCGTATTAGGAGCTATCTGAATGTAGATTAAAATATATAATTTTCTTGAATGTTCACAGGATGACAGATAATTCTTATATGTTTTAGTAAAAGATAATTTTGTTTAAGTTTTTCTACTTTAGTGAAGCCATGAAATCAATGAGCTCAGACCAATACCATTGTTATTTCTTGTTTCTTTGGTTAGAACCAGAGACTACAGTAAACAGGACAAGGGAGGCTTTACTTCCCCTTCACAGTAGAAGTATACAAACATTCAGAGTCCCACCCTTCCTCCACCAAACACAAACGAGCATTTCTACAGCTCACAGAAGAACCAGCTTACTTGAGTATTAACATTAGTGAAGTTCTATTAAGATTTAATATGGCAATATTTTGTCCAGGAATCTCATAAATATCTAATTTTTACCTACAATCTGCACTATCCCCAAGGAAAGTGTGCCTACAGTAAAAGAAAAACAACTTCCCTTCTGCCTGTGCCATAACTTCTGAAAGAAAATTGCAAGAACAACATAAAAACCTAGTTAAAGCGTGTAAAGCCTAGTTTACTTATCTCTCATATGCATTGATATTTTTATGACCAATGGTCAGAAAAACCTCAGTCCAAGGCCCAAGGAATCAAATCTCAGTCTTTCATGTGGTTCAACCCTGTGACTAACAACTTGAAATTTAGTGAGTTTTCCTTAAACAAAGATACATATATGTCTAGATTTTTGTTCAGTCTTTATTATCAGAAACAACCTGAAAATCCCTTAAAATGAGCTGTACTTCTAATAAATAGAATCAAGAAGAATATCAATTACATTCATTGTAAAAAATAAATAATGTAGACTCTGATGTGGGACTGTGTCTGTAACGAATCTCAGGTGTTCCACCTGTGAAGTCTCTGAACAGAACTTCCTCACCATGAGCTGACAGACATGCAGACATGGTCTGGGAAAGCTCAGGAGGCCCCAGCTCTATACAAAAATCTACAGGCAATCAACAAATTCTGAGAGGGAGAGAAAGTCTTCCCCAGGGAAAAGCACAATTTATTAGCCAATATCAAATAATTAGCTCTGAAAACATACAATCAAGTAATATTATAAAAAAACTGAGAGGTGCTTATTTAAGAAAAGTGTATTTCATATATATATTCATATATATTCTTATTTTTGTATATGTTATAGATATATATATTCCTAAATACACTTTTCTTGTATATATATCAACAATTAATGAAAAAGAACTCAGATGAGCATATGAGAAGTTTGGGAGGGAGAAAGGGGAAATTATATATATGTATATATATATATATATATACATATATATGTATATATATATCAGACATATAAAAAGACAATTTTAAAATCCATAATATAATTTTGGACATATGAAATGGCACTAGGAGATGCAGAAATTAATTTCCTCCATCATCATTGCTCTTGCTAACTTTACTTGCATGGATGCGACCGATGCATCAGCGAACTCTCAGGACATTCAGTGATCAGTCCTGGCTTCCCACTCCTGCAGCCTCTGTGGAAGATTGCTGCATGGTACTCAATAGAACCTGACAGAAATGGAGACCAGAGTTACAACAGGACTCACAGTCAATCACTAAAACAAACTGGAGGAGGATGACAAGGCTGGAGAGAACCCGATTTGAAGACAGGAAAATGTCTGTCTTCCTGAGGCCCTGTCAGAGCCAGGGAGGGGAATATTCTAGACGTGATTTCCAGTTGGCTCAGACACTATAATAGGAATGAAGAAAAATGTGCCCGTCCTCAACTCAGCATTCCCATCTGATCCCTGGTTCACATAGCCATCTGGGTACTCAGGGTGCTGTGGTTTTAGGAATCTCCATGTCTACAGCTCACTCTAAGATGTAATTAGTGGTTATCTCCTTCACGGTCTCAACTTCATTCATTCTTTAATTCTAAGGAAGTCTCCATTTCCATAATATTGTATAGAGAAAGCTTAGCAAGGGTAAAAATAACATAAAGTTCACAAAATGAACTTCATTGCAATTAATATTATAGTATTCTCCTTTTTTTTTGCCTTTATTAAAGGAATCTTCCATCTTACATTTCTGACAATCAAGGTAATTTTCTTAAATTTTGTGAAATTAAATTAAAAAAATGTAAAAGTATACAACTGAGTTGAATATCAAAGTCTTTTTTATAATATAGAACAATTTTTAATTTCAATATTTTAAAGTTTCTATTAG